TCGATTCCTCAAATCTAGAAAAGCTTTCCAAATACAGCAGCGTTCGCACACACTACGCGACAAGGCACACTCATTTTGTCTCAGCCCCTTTTTCAGACACAAAATTTAATAGGTGTCACCCTAAGAGGTAGCACTTATTGATATCAATAAATAATGTTCTTCGTACCAAAGAAGCAGCTTTGGGAGTGTGTTAGTCGTTCCGAGAAGTCCTGCAACAGACACAATTCAAGGAAAGCAGCCACTGATTGGAGACTACTATTTGGTAGCTTGTCATTTCCTAGAAAACATTATTTCGAGAGAGAAAAAAGCCAAATTTTAACAAGTAAGCATCCCATTAGCGCAAATATTACTGCCGTGAGCGTTTAGAATAGAGGTAAACAAATGGAGAAAATGAGTCTACGTTGAACATTCGTTCCAACTTGGGATGTGAGAAATTTTCAGACGTAATTTACATGGCCTTCTCATCGCCTAACCATGCAGCACTTCGCAGTGGGTATAGAATTCGTGCCATCAAGACAGGGCCATGTTGTGGGCACGACAGTCGCCCTTTCGCAATGGCACCTGCTACGAGAACAGTTGTCAGGTGTCCACCGCGCTATCAATCACCATTACCCTACGCTTCTTTGGGGCCATACAATGTTCTGGGTGCTAAGGCTGATGCTGATAATGATGATGACGCCAAGAAATTATTGGTAAGCCCTTTATACTGATTGGGCAGCGTAAACCTCCAACTCGTTAGGGTAATGAGATTGCTTGATGCGACATATCATCCGTTTCTCGCCCTACATGATTCTTGTCCAGGTTATTTTACCAATAGAGTTTAAAGCACTGCCATAGCAGCGTGGTAGCACACTACCCTGACACGTGGGGCGCCTTCGCATGGTTCTACCAGAGAACACCTACCAATTTAGAGAACAGAAACTGTACTTTTGGGCTGTTGTATCAAAATGACATGGAAATACGTAGCGGTGGCGTACTGAACTTCAATACCGCGAGGTGAGATGGCGCTGGCAGTACTATCATCATCAATAAGCAGACGCATTTTTTTGCTGCAGGTGGAGGGCTCACTGCTGGTTCGCGCTGATTACTTCTGCTTTTTGTTTTTTTTTTCTCATTGCTGAATCGCGGTTTGTGTGTGTAATTATCGCCAGGTGAACTAACTGGCCTCGAATGGCAAACACAAGGTCGATCAAGTAAGGTTGGAATCATTTATTGCCAGTGTTCAAGCCGGTACAACCAATGTATTCGATTGAGTCCGAACAAAACAAGTCACTCATACATATCGAAAGCTTTCAACCCATGTGTAAAGACTAGAAAGCTAACAAGCATATGTATATAAATGAACATCGAGATCGCTGAATGAACGTTGCTCTCATTGTGTTGCGGAGTTCCAGTATAATAGCGTGGCTTCAAGACAAAGGTTCGATTCTGTCGCGAGATGCGGCGCTTGCCCTGTAGTGTTGATCTTGAAGTGAAGTGAATGCATGATGTAGAATCGGGAAGGAAACTTGCACATTGCCGATAGATAGCTCGCGCAGTGAGAGCAATGTAGTTTTTTCTCAATTTGTTAAAGAAACAATTGCGGATGTGTGCAATTCTGAATCTTTCTAGCTCGGCATTGCTACATTGAGTAGTGCACAGCTGTGCAACATTGTGTCGTGTCGACAGGGTAGGCACTAGTTTTCATTCCCAGCCGTGAGTGCATATTATAGGTTACATGTATTGAGATGATGGGCCTAAAGATATTTCAGGCTTGCTAAATTTATTGTTCAAGTTAAGTTACACAGTTACTAGAGCTAGAATTTCTCGTCGCAGGTAATGACCGGTCTTCTGAGTATGCAGAAAAATATGTATGCTAAAAGAAACGAGGTGAGGTGTGTGCTTACAGATCGAAAAGGCCCAATCCTAAGAAAATAGGATTGAGGCATGCATTGTAAATTTTGTTTGTACATTTTGTTGGCGCTCTTACAGTACACTATCTGCTCAGCTCTGGAACAGTTTCTTTTTTGCGTAGACTTATCAGTAGAACTTAACCACTCTCTTACAAGCAAGCACCCCTGAAACCAACTGCTGGTACATGATGTGAATCTGTCCAAATACTGTATCAATAAACGTCACATTTATTACACACTTGTTATTGTGTGTACTTTTTCAGTATACTTGTGCTTGAAAGCTGAAGTTGTTTTCTCCCTGCTGCTTTTCGAAGTTAGGACTTCAAGTACGTACCAGCTTCCAGTGTGGCTGTGGATAAGTCAAGATCATGTAAGTTTCAACTACCTGTGTGATTTCCTATATTTTTTTTCATGATAGTTGTGCACAGAATTTCACTTCGTAGTGGTAGACACTGTAGCCAGAACAGCCTAATTTAAACAGAAGCAGATGTGCTTAAAGAAATCTGGGACGTTTCTTTTCTATATGAAAAAAAAACACTACCACATCCAATGAAGACAATCTTGTTCATCACGACAGCATTCCTGTAATTGAGGAAGTTGTGCGGCAATTGCTCATCACCTTTTTGGTTTATTATTTTAGGAGCCCATTTACCATAGGTGCAAATCTAAATAATTTTAGTGGAGCCTTATGACCAAGATTTGGCGCATATTTTTCTAAACTTGTACGAACTAAACACAGTTAATTAGGATAAAACAGTTCTGGGTGTAGTTCATAAATAGTCACAAGGCACAATTAAATGTCTGAAAGACTGTTAATGCCCCTCACTGCGGGGGTGTTCATCTTGTAATGCATTTATAATTTTCGATAATTCACATGTAAACTATGAAGTGATAATGAGTCGTACAGTGTGGGCAAACTTAGATTGATTTTGGCTTCCAGGGGTTAAAAAAAATGACATTGTAGCCTCGCAGGAGACAAGACTGCTAGTCGAAACATTTTGTCTGACACCTCGTGTTTACAGATTTTTTATATTTTTAAGCTTTCATCTTCCGAGGGTCAGTTCACCTACACCAATGAGAACTGGTTCACAGCTGTGCACGAGAACTTTAGACTTGTGCAGCACGAGTTCAACAGTGCGGCATCACAAGTGAATGACAAGGTGTAATCCTTATTTTTGTTCGCTTAATTTAATGAGGTGGAAATATCTTGGCAAAACATGCCGCATTTGTAGAGGTGGGTACAGTACCTACGTCGAATGCTATGTTGTTTGTTAAGCTGTTCGTGCGGTTGCACCAAACCAGCGCAGTCAGTGTAGGGGATACAGTAAAATAATAAACTAGTTTTAATGCTGTACCTCTTCTGCGCTTTTTGAAATGATTGGCACGGTTTAGAGTATGCCATTTCCGCATCACTAAAACGAATGGCGAGGTGCAGCACTTTGTAAAATGGATCATGTGCTGCAGGCGAATGGAAGAAACTCTTAAGCACACAAGCGTCTCAGCATTTCACCCGCATTAAAATATGGCCACTGTGGCTGGGATCAAACCTGTGTTGTTGAGCTCTGTGGTGCCACACAATCTAACTAATAGTGTTACAGTTTCAACGTTATCGAAGTGTAGATTCCATGCCACGGTAGGCAGCCAATGCTTGCGGCCAATCTAAAGCACCCCTTCACGATATCCATGGTAAAACATTCACAAATACAGAATCGCATGTGTGACGTTCGAGATGACCTGTTGTAGTGGACGTTCAGATGTTTCAACGTGCTTGAAGAGTGAACATTCCGGAGTAGTCGTCCTGTCGTTGCACGGCAGTCTGGAAACACTAGTAGCATTACTAGATATCAATGCATGAAATCAATGCATGCAATTTTCCCAAGTAAGCCAGTAAACTCAATTAACTAGTAAACAGCAGTATTTTATACATATATGTAATGGTACCTCATAACACATGTATCAATCGCGGCTGCTTCTTCACAAGGCATTTCATGTAGGAGGTTCCTTGCCCATTGTACACCGCTGCTTCCATGTCAGGTAGGCCAGGAAGCTGTGGCGGAAAAGAAAGTATTTCTGATTAATATGATGCTTTCTTTGTCATACTATAGCAAAGCCACACCCATAATTAGGTGATGCTTCTGCGATGTGACTGCGTTAAACTATGAACTCGGAGATTTTTTGAACTAATATATGGGCTAGCTACGAAGACACATGCGTGGCGGCAGTGATGTATTCGCCTTCTTTCATTGCAACGGCCTGGTTTGTGTTACCTGGCGAAAGAATTTCCGAGTTAACGATTGAGTCAGCGACTCGTTCCCACGTGAAGCCACGCCGCAAGTAACGAACGTTTTTCTGGTGACAGATTGATACGTTAAAAAATTTTTAAATCTAATATTGCAATGCGCGGCCGCCGTGTGACGCCTACGCAGGCATTGGCAAAAAAAAAACTACATATGTTTAAATGAACCAACTAGCACAGCAAGCAACCGTCCTTAAAAAAAACTGAAGTGATTCTTACTCACCGGCCCGTGATTCCCGGGCTTGCAACGGCTGTTCATCCGCTGAAAGCTTCAATGGTCCCATCATTCCCCGGAAGTCACTCGAATTCCTTTCACTAATACATTTTTACTAATCAAAATAGACAAAATGGAAGAGAGTGTGTCGACCGGCAGTGGCTTGAATTATTTACAACGAAACGGAACAGTGCGAGACAAATCCGAACGTACCGCGAGCCGTTACCTACCATCGCTACCGTTGGCCGTCATATATTTTGAAATGAGGATAATAATGTCGATAGACTGCTGCTGACTATGACTCAACTGAAACAAAAACTATTACAAAAAATATTGACCCAGCACATGTTTAAAAAAAACTACTTGCTATATGAAGAAGTTGTTTTTTATTTGTAGTGGTACGCAGAGACGCAGCATTCGGTCATTTTAGAATTGAAACTTGGCTCCGACGAGGGTGCCTCTACAAGAAAGTGTAATAGCGCAAGTGGCGAGAGATGTTAGTAGGTCGACTCCGCGTGTTTGGAGCAGAAGCGTGCTGCGGTTCATTTTTTCGCCCCCTACAGGTGATCACTCGAACTTCAGAGTTTCCGAGGCCTGGTTGCACGCTGAACGCTGACTTTATTGCATACAGCATCATTTTTTGCTCTCAGACGGTGGTGCCGATGCCGACACCAAATGGGTTACTATATGAGATCGTTCACGCTATCACAAAAAATGAAAATAAATTTCAAAAAACAACCTTAAAACGGGTAGGAATTTCAAAGTAAAATTAATTTAGTGAATCGGCTCTAAGAAAGTGAATACAGGAAAAATGAACATGTTAAAAATTTTTAAAGCTTATTCTGCTTTGTGTTTTCAAAAATGACACACATCCAATAGCTGTCTCGTGCCTATTTTTGCCAAATCTTAACTTTATATTGCCAATTAATGTCATGCTAAGCGGAGTTTATCTTGAGTCGACAAAAGTCTTGCTCCTTAAAGTTGCCAAGCAACGCATATTTCAGTTTGGCGTAAGCCCTAACGACAGGGATTCACAAAGCAAATGTTAGGCACAGTACTTATTGGTTTAGTAAGACAATACGGTGAGCATACGATGTAATTCTGGGCAATAAGTAATTTTAAGAATTATTAGTGGCACAATAAATAAAAAGATTAAGAACCACGCTTAGGAGAACTGCTGAATTGAGCACACTGTTATTTTTTATGTAGCTTTACACAATATCTATAACAGTAGGGTGAGTGCATACAATGTCCATGGCTTCAACAATCTCCGAAAGCTTGTATGAAGACTCGCACATATTCACTAAAACCCGTAGATGCCCTAGAGCATAGGGGTTCTTTGAAAGATTGAAGCACCGGTTGTTAAAGTGGCGCACTGCCTCCTCATAGCAGTCAAAGTTCTTCAGCCGCTTGTTGGATGTCAACAGGGATTCGGAGCCTTCCGTGTTAGCCTCAGCTAAGAACGAGGCAATCTCGGCGACTTTCTCCTTCAGGAATGAACGGTTGCTAAGGGCATGGCGCAGCTCTTCCTTCAATAATTTCTTTTCGTCAGGATTGGACGCCCTTGCGAGTTTTTTTCTGAGAACGGCGACGGGAACGTCTCTGCTAGAGACGGCGTCATATGGTACCTTTGGCAGAATGACAGGCTTTGCCTGCTTGTTCCCCTGGAACTCGCTGACTGAAAGCTTTCCGATGCTCAGGTCACCGAATTCCATGACGTGGCTGGTATTGGTTTCCTCTCTCACGATATTAAACTGATCGATGAGTTTCTCCTTGTGCAGGTCTTCCTTGTCAGAATCTTCCATCCAGTTCACGCTATACACGTCACCCAGGTACGCCTGCCTCTTGTCGTCCCAATAACAAGCGTACGAAGACTCGTCAGGGTTGGCCGCAGTCGTGGCGTAGACGTTCACGTTGTCGGGTAGCAGGCCGTCGAACATTGAACCGGATTCACAGGCCTCGATATAGATGGTCATTTTCCCAAACTTCTTTTGTTTGCTCATACTTTTGATCACATTCACGAAAGCGGTGGCGTGAAGCTCGTCGTGCGGAAATGCGATAAGACCAGGGGCCCCGTGATCGGCGAAGTTGACGAAGATGTGGTCATTTGGGCCACTGGCTATGACTTTCCCGCTGCCACCTTTCACCTTCTTTCCTTGGAGGATGTCGAGGAAGTTTTGCGCGGTGACCAGATGTCTCGTGTAGTCTTTAGGAACGCCCTGGTAGACGTCGTTACCTTTAGGGTGATTGATGATCACTCCCGGCGTCGGGTTCAAACTGGAATTGGCGATATCGTCGAACATCATGACCACGATGCGCTCGTCGGGAATGCCATGGTTGTGCAGCACATGGTAGGCGTGACAAATATCGGCGTGGTGACGGTAGTTGAAATAAGAGAAAGAACCAGCCACTAGAAGAGCCCACAACTTTGGCTCATTATCCCGTTCAGTAGACTTCTCGGGGGCAGCTGCTACAGTCAGTGCTACAGCGACTAACGCCAGTGAAATGTAATGGAATGCCTCCATGATTGATGTGTGCAATGTCAATCCGAGTCTTTTCACCCTTTAAATAGGAGAAGTGGCTTATCATTCTCACATCTCGCGAGCTCACAGAAGTACGCCCACTTGATAAGGCACGTGGCTCCTTAACTTGCATTTTCTCACATGAATGTGTATTGTTTGAATCAGAAACCTTCGCGTAAACAGTGTGTAGGTAGAACAATAACAATGGCTTGTACTTCAGCTAATCTTTTTCCAAGCGGGCGTGTCCTTATCAGTCTGTGGCTTCTGAAGCACTTGAGGCTGCGTTTGTGGTAAACGGCGGATCACGAACTGTACATACGTTTCCTTCAATAATTCTTGTTTGCTTTAAAACATCGATAATCTGGTGCTGGTCTTGGCTGTTACATTGAAGATGAAATATCGCAATCCACATCTGGCAAACGCGTTAGGCAACTATGCAATGAAATAAAAACTTGTCCTCGCTCACCATAGCTCAATTAACGGTTTATCTGTCTGTGTTAGTATGTGTCTTTCATAAGTTTTATATACAAATAGATTTTGAGGAGAACAATGGGTTAGGACGCGTTTATACTTGAGCTAAACAAGACTGTTACGCAAGCGCTGAAAGCAGTGCGCCTATCGAAACCACACCCGTGTGACTAAGCTGAAAGCTTTGCTTTTAAATGCGAAGTATTTTTTAGTGAAGTTTGGCCACTTTGAGCGTATCTATCTATCTAGCCGCTTACGTCCCGGTGGTCTCGTCGTCACCCCTTAACTTGGCGTGAACCAAAATTAGCGTGGGAGGGTAAGATGGTTTGACAAATATGAGGCGCTGGGTAAGACATGAATAATGTCACAATCTCATCGCGTGCATAGTCGGACACTTCCTGCCAGACAGTGGCACATACCCACGGACGGGTATGTGCCACAGGCATTTTGACACTTAGTATCTACCCAATAATGACAAGAACACACACGGGAAAATATAGCGTGCGAGTATCAAGAAATACCCGACCTTGGTGTCGTCCACCCGACGAATGAAATGAATAAACTTCAGGGTCTTAGCTGGAATCGAACCCATGTATTCTACGTGGCAATGAAGTATTTTATCACAGAGCTGTGCCTGGTTTCGGAATTACTTTTCGAATAGAAGCTCATCTTCGTGAAACGTGAATAGTGGTTGCACTGATACATACCTAATTTTATAAAATTACCTATCTACTTGTTTTATGCAGTCGTCACAAAGGGTTAACGTCAATTGGGGTTAGTTGTCATGCGCTGAAATTCATTCACGTAGCAGTGTCCAGGGCAAGTATCCTCGCGAGCATCAGCGCTTCATATCAGCTTCTGGTGTTGCTAATACGCATGTTCGAGTTGGCAGCGTTGGACAAGTGCAAACAACTGGTTATATAAACATCTACAACTCTTCAACATATCTCTCTGCGTGCAACATTTGTACATATATTTAGTGTCATTTCGTGGCGTGTCGCTCAATAAAAAATTGTAAAAGCGTCAGCTTCCCTCCGCATGCTTCGCATACGTCGATTCCCAGGTATGTGGGATCTGCCGAACTTTTTTTTTTGCCCTCAATTTCTTGGGCACGCTCTTCCTCACCCCCTACACCCTCCCTAGAACACAGAAGTCATGGAGAGCAAACACCTAAGTCCTTGCTCTTCATCGTCGACGAACCTTGACTTCGAAATTTGTACTTGTCAAGGAAGCAACGAAAACTTCACTGACATCCTGGGATGACGCGCCACTGACAGCTGCATTACACGTGACAACTAGTCTGGACTAAGCAATACCACCGCTGAGAGCAGCACGGCAGCCAAGCCATCACAGGAGGATTCGGTGATACCAGTTTGCAACATCTTCCTTGTCAGCGCTGAAACAAGGATGGAAATAACTTCTCAGGGGTACAGCTTAACTCTTCCCATGCACCTCAATATTCCAAAAGAATTGAGGCTTCATTGCGTGCATCCGGACGACTCATCCTTACGTTTGACTGGCTCACGAAAACATGATGAACTGCAGTTTCGTGACCCAGCAGCTTATGCGCTGTGGTGACAGGGCCCGTAGCGATTTGCGCATTGACGATGAGGGCAGCTGACATACTGTGCGCCGAAGCTATGACAGGACTCATACAGCTCATCGAAAAGCAGTGGATGAATCTCTTTGGATGAGATACTGTAGTCGTCTGGACACGTGCACACAACAGCTGCGCCTCTTAAATACGAAGCATTTCTTAGCGAACTTCGGCGACTTTGAGCGTATCTATCTATCTATCTATCTATCTATCTATCTATCTATCTATCTATCTATCTATCTATCTATCTATCTATCTATCTATCTATCTATCTATCTATCTATCTATCTATCTATCTATCTATCTATCTATCTATAGTATTGGGAAAAGAGTGGACAAATGCAAAGGAACAAAGACATAACGTTAATAATCAGCTGGCATGACACAAAGTAGCAATATATAAGCATAAGTTCCCCTTTCAAAGTAAAAACTGCTATGTGGGTCATCAGACAACAAGCAACAGTGTGTGCGGGGCGGGAGATTTTATACGTAAGGTTGGGGAGCACATGATGCAGCCCGACGGGCTGCAGGTTGCCGACCCCTGCACTAAGCAAACGTGCCATATAACATTTGACTCGCAAAACTAAGCCTGCTGTGATAGCATTATTCCGCACCACTTTTCTGGTTATCTAATCTAGGCCTTTTCACAAATGACAACTTCTCTGTTTAGTTTATAACTGAGTTGCACATAAACCCTGTATACTTTTGGCAGTGGTAACGCTTGATTTTTCGAGTGACTTAAGCCAAATGAGCCCCTCATACGATTCACATGTTCAGGCCTTTCTTGACGACGCTTCAACGTTGGAGACATTGCTCCTGTGCGGACGTTGCGAATACAGGTAAAGCAGAGACACGATAAAACGTGAACTAAGAAAACTATAAGCTGAGTGCAAATACAAGATTGCGTTGAACAATACTATAAATCGTCAGCGTCTTCCCGCTCTCAACGCAGTGATTTCGACCACTATTCTAATCACGCAATGTTGAAAGCGTCGAGAAGAGCACATTGAGTCGGCATATCACCTGAACAGATGTTTGCAAGAATTTTATCGCTGTCTACTGCGCTATCTTACGAACGCACACATCTCAGCGATAACCTCTCGGTGTCTGGAGCGCTCGAAGACTGTATCACCCCTATCGATGGCCGACTGAAGATAAAGATGGAGCCTTCATACAGAAACTTGTTGTGAGTAGCAGGTGAATCATAGATAAAGTGCCTTTCACAAGTATTCGAAAGAATAAGAATGGAGCTCAGATCACGTGGTGGCAATTGTACTTACAATCTCCTAATCTACAAAATCGCCTGAAACAATGGTCGAAATACTTGACAGAAGTTAAGAACACACCCTCATAGTGCCATAGATAAGCCAGGCGGTAAAAGGTGTATCACGAAGAAGAATGAAGAAGTATAAATAGAGAAGTCAATGGCATGTCAGCTTTGAACTCTTAAATGACAAAATCCAATATACTCATGGTTACTTGTTGGCTCATGCCCAACAGTAAGGTGCTTTTGCACATGTCTCATGCCAGTTTATTGAATAACATGCTACTAATAATAAAGGGAGCATTTCTGGGCTAGTAATTTAGGGGTGGTATATACAAAAAATTACTAAAGAGTCTATGTGTGGATGCAAAGCAGCGGGGAGATTGTTCACGTGATCGGGAGATGGTGCACTTAGTTGATTGCTTGTGCTGGTTCTAACGCTGACACTGGCGGTGACGTTAACGCTGACGCTCAAGACAGCGTTAGAAATACGAGCGCAGAGGGTGGACAGGGACAGCTAAGACACGGACAAGCACCTCCCCATCGTAAGGTTCTCCGCATCTAAAAAATCGGGAAATTCTCTTCAACAGGCTCTTGGTTGCACTTTGATTTGTTGACTTGTGAAAAATTCATGCAAATATTTAGTGCTTGAAAATATAATACTCTCTTTCACAAGTCTTTCTGCGGTGCTTTTCTACACTGTGCTTCTGCCCGTCGTTGCTCAATCGGGGCATCACGTCGCCGGAATGCGTTGCTACCAAAGACTGCCTCTTCCTAACTTAGCGAAAATCTAGTTCATTTAAAAAAAGCGCGTTTGATACTTTTTACCGAGAAAGCTGCGTCTTGGGCGAGATTAAAGTCAGGTAAAACAAACAGCATAAAAACAGATACTATAGCAGCCTTATTCGACATGCGGCTCTTTTTAAAATGTTTCCACAGGGTACAGCACAATTATGGTGCAGTGAAGACTGCAAGCAGCACCATAGGACTGGTAGACAGACCGAAAAAGCACACGCAAAGTTAGAATAATGGATGCACAATGACAAAAAACAAGAGAAAAATATTCATATACGAATATAGAATCGGTGCTACATCTGTTTCAACGTAAGTGAAAGCCATAAGAGTTGATTGAGCTATTTTCATCATGGGCGTGATGTACCATCATAATTTAGGATGCATTCTCAACAATTACAGTTGATTTTGATACTGCAGTGCCACGGCAGACACGACAAAAATCACAGCATATCCATGGACTGAATGATGATGAGTGGAACGAAGCATCCGTCAGTCCGTCAGCGCTTCCGTCCATCCATTCGTTCTTGCTTCCGTCCGTTTATGCGTCCGTCTGTGCGTGCGTCCATCCGACCACGCGATCATGCGTTCATACGTCCATGCATCTGCCTGTCTATCCGTCCATCCGTTCGAGCGTCCATCCATGCATCCGTCTGCTTGTCTGTATGTCCCTCCGTGTGCCCGCCTGTCCGTCCTTCCATCTATTGAACACTCCAAGCACCACCATCCAGCAATTTTTCAACATATGTTCATGATGTAGAAGTTCCGCTATTCAGTGGCCTTTCCCAAGACAAAACGAGTGGTGTCTACCTATTACTACTACTAAACTGCTCCTCCTCCTCCTCCTCCTCCTCCTTCTCCCCCTGCTACTACTACTACTACTACTACT